GAAATTAAGTGTTAACGAGCAGTTGGACAGGTGTACCTAATAAAGTGGCCGGTGAGTGTATATTTAAGAAGGATTTAATCATTTGGAAATTGGATGGTGTTACAATAGGGAAAATTTGAATTTATAATTTGACATCATTAAGGGAAATAAGATAAAAGTTCACTAAGAAATACCCTTCATGTAATGCCTTTTGAAAATAAATGAAGTTGCTGTATGACAAACTRAAACAGTTCATGTGGCATTTCTGTAACCATTTAACCAGGCAAATCCYRKTGAGATCTCAGATCTCTTTTTCAAGGGCWGCCTGGGTCTGAAGGCAAMCTATTGTACATGTTTTTASGGGTGGGAGAAACCGGAGTACCCGGAAAAAACCCACACAAGCAWGAGGAGAACATGCAAACTCCACACAGAAAGACCCCAGGTCCAAACTGGGGAYCAAACCCAGGACCTTCTTGCTGTGAGGCATCGGTGCTAACCGCTGAGCCGTCATGCCGCCACATGTCAAAGTTATTGAAAAAAACACTGTCATTTTTTGGATCAAGAGCCTAATAAAGTGAAACAGTGGGAACAAAACATAATTAAATCAGGTGTTTTATGAGAAAAACACAATCATATTTGRTTTTTCAAAAGATCTTTTCGGTGTTTTGTTTTAAGGCCATGGAAATTAAAGTACATAGAAAACAAWATGACAATACCCACTTATAAACGACAAAGTGACTGTTTGTGCCAGAATTTTTAACAGAAAACGTAATTATGAAACAAATAACTTGAATATAGCTGAAAGGTGGAATTAAAAAGTCCACTCAAATACATATTGTACCTAATGTGTTCATGGCTTTTTTCTCTCATTGTAGCTAGAAATAAATTATTCTGTTTACAGATTTGTAATTTTTAAGCTCTGAATTTGAAGATGTATCCTGATACTTATTATGTCCTAGGACTTGACTTTAGTCAAATTTGCACTGTAAAATTTATAAAAAAAAACAAACAAATAAATAAATAGAGCAGACAAGCTAATACTGACTTGCTAATTCTAATAATTTAATTCACTCTGATGTCTCTGAAGACATAACAATATTAACACCACGCACTCATAAATCTCAAATCAAATTAAGTTGCACCAACCAGGTTAGAAATAAATAATGTTTAATTGTGTGTGCAATGAGTCTCCATCCTCACCAGAGTTTATTCAGAGCCATAAGCCTGTTATTTTCAGCAGTTATCTGTGAAGTTCCACTCTCTGAACACAAGGTGGCAGCATAGCTCACAGCCCAATCGTGCACCACTGACCTACTTGTCCCGCATCACCAGGGCCAACATCTCATTTAACTCCATCTTCCTGTGGACAGCTTCATTTTAAACAAAATGAATCTGTCAGAATTTAATCTCCTCATCTCCAGCAGGTCAATGAAACTCCTGCACACTTTTMAAATGGATTCCTTTGGGTGAGAAAACTGTCACTAAATCACCAATTGACCTTTTGCTTTATTTTTTTCTCTCTCTCTCTACTTACCCAGGGAGCCCCCGGTGAGCGTGGACCCTCTGGAGCCAGTGGGCCCAAAGGTGCTAGCGGTGACCCTGGACGTCCTGGAGAGTCTGGTCTTCCTGGAGCCAGGGTAAGYTTCTGCTCCACGCAGGGCAGAAAGGAAATCACAACTGTTAGATTGAACCTGTAATAAATATCACACACAGTCAGAAATCAACTTTTTGAAATTCTATTAATAGATACGTGCTTTTAAAACATTGAATTWAGCATCGACCAGTGTAAGACTAAACTTTTCCGTTTCCGAAACTTTAAATGTGCTAACCTACATGTTAAACAAGCTGAACCAATTAAATCCAACTGCTTCTTATCTGCTGTTGCTGCCTGTTTTCAGCACGTTCCCCTGGCTCACAGTTCTCTGAGCAGCAAATGATGCACGACTATAAACAACCCCGATCCTCGGCAACATCAAATACTTGTTTTTACTTCAAATTTCACTTCACAGACTTTTAAAAATATAAAAGCAAAACCGTTTAAAAAAGTTTAAAAAATAAGTCAGCTCAGCCTATTTAGGGCTGTCACAAAATTCAAACT